AATTAAATGTGACTGTAATTCTTATTTATTGTTCTTATAAAAGACGTTTGTTGTGAAAGTTTCCCAGCAGCTGATTGTTTGGAACAAACCCTGAAGAACTTTAGGAAACTCCAACTCCCACAATGCTGAGTGTGAAAACACACACACACACACACACACACACAAACACACACACACACACACACACACACACACACACACACACTTCATCATTTTTCATAAGATTTGTCTTCTTTCTGATGATTGACACAAACTGATGTTTCCTGTCTTTGATCGTCTCAGTGGGGTGAAAGAATTGACAATAAGTTTCCTTCACGGCTCCGAAACCAACAGGTGAGTTTTATGGTTGAATAAAGAAAATAAAACCATAAAAAGAACAAAGGAATAATTTATTCTTTTATGTTTCCCAACATGTGCAGCCATAAAAGCCACTCTGAGCCGGCTGTCAGGTAACATGTTGTCACTTTGTTCCTGAAGATAAAGATCAGATTTAAACATTTATTCTGTGAAGTAATGATTTCATAAATGACTCAAGCGTTTTTATTAATGAGTTACATGAAGCTGATTGAACTTTTATTGACCTTAACAACCCAGGACAGGCAGTAGAGATGATGCAATTATTAAAGTTTGATTTTAATGTGAAAGTTTTTCATAAAGCTTTGGTTGATCTTTTTCTTCAGCTTGTTGAATCAGAAGTGGAGCAGCTGTGAGATGAAAACTCTGCTGAAGTCTGTGGTTGACTGTCGCTCCCTGTCCGTCCTCAAGTACGTAGAACCAAAAACACCCGTCTGCTTGTGCTACTTCAGCTAGTCTTTTTGTGTTTTTAGCTTTGTTACTTTCATGAGCTATTTCTACTTTTAGCTTTTAACTAGCATTTTAGTGCTTTCAGCTGGTGTTTTGTTATTTAAGCTAGCCTTTTGCTACTTTTAGCTAGAATTTTGCTATTTGTAGCTAACATTTTAGCTCTTTCATCTAGTTTTTTGTTACTTATAGCTTTTAGCTAGCTTTTTGCTACTTTTTTCTTTTTACTGCTGTTCTGACACATTTAGGTTTTTTGTAGTAATTTGCCACTTTTAGCTAACATTTTAGCACTTCCAGTTAGTATTTTGCTACTTTTAGCTTGCCTTAATGCTTTTAGTTTGTGTTTTGTTTCTTTAAGCTAGTCTTCTGCTACTTTTAGCTACCATTTTAGCACTTTCAGCCAGTGTTTTGTTACTTCTAACTAGCCTTTTGCTACTTTTAGCTTGAAGCTAACTTTTAAGTGCTTTTAGTTTGTGTTTTGCTACCTTTAGCTTGTCATTACTGTGATGATACATTTTGCTTTTAGGTAGTAATGTGCTAGCTTTGGCTCTTAGCTAGCCGTTTGCTACATGTAGCTTTTAGCTACTCTTTTGGGGTTTTCAGCTAATCTCATGGTTCATTCTGATACCTTTAGGTAGTGTGTTGCTATTTTTGTTTTATAGCAACTGTTTGGCTACTTTGATTTTATTGTAGCGATTTGTTTACTTTTAGCTTTTAGTTCATTTTTTGCTACATTTAGCTTTCAGCTAGCCTTTTGCAGATTTTGGTTTTTAGTTTGCACTTTGCTTATTTGATCTCTTTGCTAGTTTCTGCATCTTTTAGCTCTAACAGCTACATTTCAGCTTCTTCAGCGCTCAGTATTTTAACAAAAAAATTGATTTCTCTTGTGTTATAATCTGACAAATAATCTGTAATTTGCCTG